GCGCGCTCTGTCCTGTCAGAGCTCCCGGTCTAGCAGAGCAGGTAACACCCGCGGAGGAAAAATGAGGGACTAGCAGGTTGGCTCGCTTCCTTCCGAAGGTAGATCTTCAAGGGCAAGATCTAGAGCAGTGGCCCCTGTGAGACCCTGAAAACGTGTCTGAGCGACCGGTTGGTCGAAACTATGTTCATAGCAACACTAAGACGTTATTTGCCTTTTTCACTCTCATTCTTTCGAATGGTAAAGTGGAGTGTTCCCGAATCCACGTGGCGCGTGATTTTGCGGCAGATCGATCGCAGAAGCAGATGCGATCATCTGGCTGTCTTCTATGGAATCAGACATTACAGAGGTTTGCCAAACTGTAAAACCACGCCACTTTTCACCAATCATTTTTGTTTTGGAAAATATAGTTATTTTTCTTAAGAATATCCATGTTAACACATAACAGATTTATTATGATCGTTTTTAAAACAAATTAGGAAGTAATTTAAAAAGGCCTCGGCTTTAATTTCTAACATGGTAAATATCGATAGCTATAACCCACTTAGGGGTCTTCAATAATTTTTAAGAATTTTTTTTTTTTTTTTAAATAGGGATCCAAAGACCAAAAAGTTTGAGAACTGCTGATCTAGAGCAAGGAGGCGCCTTGCCTCCTGGGGTCCTCTTCACACCCCGCTTCCATAGGCTGCTGAGTCATTAATAAGATGTCAGCTGTGCTGGAAATACACTGTAGACGTGACGGGCTGCGGTGGTCAGGGAGTGTCTGCTTACCACTCCCGTCCGCGGTGTTTACGAAATCATTTGCCTGGGCTGTAACACAGGCAGAAGCATCGCTTCTTGTCTGCAGGCTAAAAATGTCCTGGGGAAGACTAACGTTAGGACCCTGTAAATTGAAGGTGTTTCTAAGAGCAACTCTTTTCTAAACACGGGCTTGTCTTCTCTTAGCCGGGCGGCTTCTGGGCACCTTCTCATTGGCCCTCTACACTCACTGTTAATTAGAATATAGAGATTGATTTTTCTAAAAACACTAGAAAGAGAATTTGATCTTTCTTCCCCTCTGAATAAAAATCCTTCGGCCGCTCCAAATCGACTTGAGAAATTAAATCCCAAATGATTGCTCGATCACGCCAGGTGCTTTGTGGCCTCATCTCTTCCAGCATCGCTGTTTCCCCTCAGTCTCGCTCGGCCGTTGGAGGGTTCCTGAAGTCCCAGGGCTTCTCTTGCTTATGAGACTTTATGTGGTGTCCACCTCACACCCCACTTGTATCTGAAATGCCTGCCTCCTTCCTTTCTCCCTTCGGTCCTACGGAACTCAGCTTAGAAGCATCTCATCTGGGGAGCCCCACTGAACTCCTCCTGCCAAGGCCACTAGAATGTCGTGCTCTCCCTGCTGTATCATCGGCTCCAGGACTGAGATCTCACCTGTGCAAGTCACGATGTGTTGATCATTTACAGGCAGTGTCCATTCTGATTGGTCAGTTTCTTGTTCTGATTGCTCGTTGCCTGTGCCATTCTGGTTATTAAATATTCTTAGAACCACCCCTTCCAAAGGCCTTGAAAGAAAGCACTCGGTAAATATTTGTTGAGTGAATAAACAAAGTGCTCTGGGCTCCAAAATCACAAAGTGAGTTGACTTAAGAACCCACCTCCGTGGGCCCCCAATCTCAGAGCTGGGGATGAAGTACCTTCTCCTTTTCCACCCGCCTGGCATTTGAGACATCCTGTAATACCCTGAGATCTGAGCCCTTCAGCCAATTGATAGTTTTTTCTGAACCGCACAATAGCAAATAGAGCTTAAATTCCTTTAATGGACAGTTTCTTTCCATCAGGCTGGCTCTGCTCACGCTTACACTGTTAGAAGCAGAGAAAACCCCTGCCCTACAAGAAAATTCATTCTATGGTTTCTTGGGTGGGTCAGTGGATCTTTTGTCCAGAGGAATCATTATTGAGGCCTCACCTTTTGCAATTATAATTTAACAGCTCATATTACAGGTTAAGCTCCTGACTGAATGAATTGCAAAATGCTCCAATTACTTGAAACAATTACACACCGGAGCCAATATCCTTCCTTAAATTGCTGGGGAGAATCGTATTCTGAATTCAATCCAATCATCGCCTCCATACTGGAACACCCAATAAACCCCGATGGCTCTGGATCAAGACAGTCTTTCTCATTGTCCATTAACCCTGCTCACTAGAGTCACCTCTGACCCAAGGGAGAGTATAAAACAGTCACGTGGGTGTCGGCGGGCCGTCTGTAGTATAAACAGGAGTGCCCCACGCAGAGCAAGTCCAGACTTTTCCCTGGCAATTAAGACTTTTTATGCTCTCCCTTCCAGCTTTGCCTAACCAAGTTCACTCATCCTTACGCCTTAAGGTCAAGCCCATCTGCTCCGGGAAGCCTGCCATCCTGGGTGGGGCTGAGCGCCTATATGAACACTTTCTCAGTGTGCCAAGTCTACGGAATACTTGGCCACCAGTTAAATAAACGAACAAAGGAGTTAAACCGAAGAGGTTAAGATCAGAAATACCAAAACTGGCACCAAATGCTGTCTGATTGGTTAAGGCTATTGGATGGCAGGTGCATTTTAGCCTCATTTTTTTTTTTTTAATTCATTTGACAAATAGTTACCCACACTTTGTTAATGTGCCAGGCTCTCTGTGGGTGCAGGCCCCAGCATCTCTCTCTCTCTCTCTCTCTCTCTCTCTCTCTCTCTCACACACACACACACACACACACACACAAACACACACACAATTTTCCCCTGGAAAATTCGAAAATGCATCTTCACAGGAATTCTCATAGCAGTAAAAATTCTCCAGAAAGGAACGAGAGAGAAGCCTGATCCTGCTTAGCTCTCCGCAGACAGCTAAGGCAAGCCTTAATACGCGGTTTCCTAGAGGTCTAAATTCTGGACACAGGTGTGAAAATGGACACTGTGCCAGGCTTCTGGAGATGGCTAGAAGGACAGGCTTCTGGACTCTCCCCAGCTGCCCTCTACTCACTCCAACTGTGGTCAGACAGGCTGGCCGGGTGGGCAATGCCCTAGGCAGTGGGTATGTCCTATTGGCAGCTGAGGTCCAGGCTGGGAGCCGCCATCCAGGCCCACCACAAGAAGATCTTTCTGCTCAGCCAGCTTTTATGTGGCTGTTTAGGGAGAGGAAAAAAAAAAAAAAAAGGCCAAGGAAAGCAGGGTATTGAATGATCAATGGACTGTGTGTGTGTGTTTCTCTTGCTCCTGTGGATTTTTCAGTTGAAAAGAAGAGGCTTATCTCTCATTTTTAATTGATTTTAATGCGGCTCAGCCAGGCTAGATCAGATCTCAAGTCCTCCTGGACTCCGAAATGAATGGTGTGAGGAGCTGCCTGCATGTTAACGAGAGGCCGAGAGCAAGTGGAGAAGGTAATGAGGACACTGTGTGCCTGTGACGTCCTCGGCAGGCTTTGGGGCTGACCTGACAAGGTGGAACCATCTACAGAGTTCAAGGGTGGTATGGATATGGGAATGGGGGTAGTTTGTTTTCCAGATGATGCTTGGGGATATAAATATGCACTTTTAATTACAGCGTGGAGGGCTTCCAGCCCAATCCAAGGGTTGGGACTCCAGGTAGCCTACCTCCCCAAACAGATGCTTACCCGCCTCCTGCCAATTCCCCAGGCTTCTACCTCCTCAGAAAATCCTTGGTACCTTTGCAATTTTTAACTGTAGCATAGTCAGTACCTTTTGACATTAAGGATTCTCTTCTCACTTCCTGTCTTGCCCCTGTTCCCCACCACCGCTTCCCCCAAACCTCTCTGTGTGACCTTGGACCCGTTGCCAACACCCGCAGGTCCTCAGCATTCTCCTCTCAAATGGGGATAACAGCATCGACCACAGGGCATTATTTTGAAGGGGCAGAGAAGATAATGGCGGTAAAGCATCCAGTTGTGCTCAGAGCAGAAAATACTCAAGAGTTATTTCTTTTCCACCTAACTTCCCTCTCCACCAAGACAATCGAATCAAGAGATGTGAGCAAAATAACTAGAAATGGGAAGAGGCCTGAAATGGCATTCCATGGGGATGGACTCAAGCTCTGTTGTAGCCACACGGTAAGATACTTAACTGATGAATGCCCTATCTTGTTTTCTTGGCTGGAAAGAGATAATAGGGACCTTAGAGGTTCTCAAGCTTACCTGCTAGAGAAGAAACACCCAAAGAGGTTTGAAAAAGCCAGCGCTGGGGCTCATGATCCAGGGTCGACTCAACTTACCCGGGATGGGCAAGGTGTTGATAGAGTTTGGAATGCTGTAGAGGTCAGTGAGTTTAGGATGGACGTGGAGATCTTATTCCACTGAGTAGGGGCCCCTTCTAAGAGTTCAGCTACTTATTTGATGGTCTGCTGTGGCTACTTCCTGTGGCCACCACAGGGTCCCCATAAGCCCAGGTGGCAGATAGGTGGGTGGAGGAGGGGGCATCTGTCTCCCCATGATCCTCAGTCCCCATGTCCTTCCTATCTCTCAAAGCGGAGAGCTGGTACAGCCGCATATTAACTACATGCTCCTAGTTTTCTCATGTGGATGCAAACATGCAAGGCTGGTTTCCCAATCGGCACACACTCTGAAACACCCTTTCCCACAGACGCCACAACCCTCTAATCTTCCCGTATATGTACAAATGTGGTCCAAGCCAGACTGACTGAAACACACGTGTTTACATACTGTCAGGACCCGTGAATGGTCTGAGATTCCTCACTGCTTGAAAGCTGATGGCTAGCCTGCCATGCTTTCTGTGTGTGGGAGGAGCCTAGCATTCACATTACCTAGCTCTTTTCCTTTTATCCACTTAGGAAAATTCTTTGGGTATCATGCAATGGGTTCCCCACTCTTAAGAAACCCACATTCACACCCACAGTAGAGAAGTGGAAACTCAATTTGCCAGCCCCCTTCCACACCCCACACCTTCACACTTACCTGATCACCCATCCAGACCCTTCCCTTCCCTCAGTTCCCTTGTAAGGCTTTAAAATCTATTACGACCGCGTGTTCGAGGTCAAAGTACTGAGGCAGATGTAAAACAGAGATGAAGAGTAAGGAATGGCAGTAAGTACATTCATGCTCTTGACTCTGTGCAGTCCCACCGCCCAGAGGAAACCAATGTAACCATTTCTCTTTACTGTCCGGTGGTTAGCACCGCAGTTCAAAAATAAGCCCAGACCTTTCTTTCATGGCTTATTAACTTTGGGCAGTACCGATTGACTTCCTGCCGTGAAAAGCGATCCATTTCCTATACTTCTTCCTCCCTTGGCTTTCTCCTTCTTTCTTAGTTTTGTTAGATTGTCTTTAGTTCTTCTATTAGTCGTCCTTATAACATTAAGTAATTTGCTTAAACCCTAACATGTTTTGTTCCATCAGCTTTGCACAGGGCCTCTGGGCTGCCCGCTCCGTAAAGAGAGGAAAATGGTGTCTGTTCCTTTGCTTCTCCTCCTCCAGCTTCCAGCCCTATGTTCTGACTCATCTTACGCGATCAAGTTCTTTAACTTTATCAAGTACACTATCAAGTTCTTTCATTCTATCAGCTGCTTTTGTTGATCAAGGTGACAACATTAAATGGCTCGTTGGCAACTATGACTTCTGGGCTTTCTCTGTCGGTTGATTTCAATGTAGACTTACAATATGATGATTACGTAAACATCATCCAAGTTGGTACCTTAGAGAAGGAATCATATTCCCAAGTCACAAAACCTAGGCTATTTGAAGAAAACAGATGTGAATGTTGGGATCAGAGAGTCTCTGACTTCACGTACCGTCGGTTTCTCAAACCCTTTCGATGCTGCACGTCCGCTGGCCGCATGTGTATTTGCACCTTGACCTCTTGCCTAGGTTTTTCCTTTTCGTTCTGCCTCTTTTCTCATTCATTAAAAGAAACACACACTTCCTTTTCTTTCCCCTTAAAGCCCGTCAAATTTTTGATCATACTATTTGTGAAAAGCTCTACATTGGACCAATGGCTTTCCGGGGGCCAGTGAGCCCCCTGGCTGAGATTTCTTTTAGGACTTTGTTCCACGTTTCTTCTATCCCACCTTCTTCTTTTTCAGTTTCCCTTTTCATTTTGCTTGTAGTACATCCTCCAACAATCTTTGTCTGGAAGGGCATTTAATTGACAGTTTGTTTAGTTATAGGATTGAAGGTTCAAAGTCATTTTCCCTCCGAATCCCTTGGCTTCTAGCATCTGTGCCCTTGATGCAAATTCTTTGGCTAATCTGGTTCCCACGTCCTGCAGGTGGACTGTTCTTTCGCTCTCCGGGACCTAGACTCATCACCGGCTTTCTGAACCGTCACGAGGCTATTCCAGGGTATCCTGCCGTCAGACTGAAGATCGGTCTTCAAGCCAGGACATTTTCTTCACTTTCTTCGTTTCTCACGTTCCCGGGACGCGGATAGATGAGGGCCTGCCTGGCCCTCTGGGGAGTCTCCTCCGCTCGTCTCTCCTGGGCCACTTTCAGGGTGCGACTTTCTTGCTCTGGTTCATTTGTCAGTTCCGTATAATCTTCTCCCCGTTTTCCAGAAAGTCAACACAATCTCTCGGCACTCATGAGCTCTTCGTCATGATGAAAGAGATTCTCCACGCTTCTACAATTTAACAGACGTTTTTGGTGGGATGGGGAAGGGAGGGAGAAAAGTCATGTTTTCTGAAACTGAACGCTCCCCTCTGGAAGGTGTGGGTCCTTCTGAGAAAGGCTTGGAAAGAGCAGAGAGAGGTGGGGTGGGCGCTGTGCGTGCGCACACGCGTGCACACACACACACACACACACACACCCACACACGGTTTATGGACTGAACGAGCCCCCCCTAAATTCACATGTTGAAGCCCTAACCTCCAGTGTGATGGTATTAGGAGGTGGGCCTTTGGGAGCCACCCTCAGACTTCCCCCTCCCCGACACACACCAGGACTGTGACCCCCTCCTCACCTCCGACACACACACAGCAGAACTGAGGAATCTTCTCCACTTCCCACAGTGATTTCAAAAGATGCTGATCTTGTCAGCTGCGTTAATGATTCACAGCCCAGGAGACGCCAACCTTCCTAAAAATATCAGAACCCTCAGTGCAGAGGGAAGCTTCAAAGGCGTGTACATCCTGATGGAGCCAGCCTGCCTTGCCCTGGCCGCTGAGGCCACCACTTTCACCCACTCTGCCCCCACGGTCCCATCCCTGCCTACTCTGCCCCAGAAGCCCGAATTAATGGGTGCAAAGCCAACTCTGAGGAGCTTTCAGGTCACTCCCATTATAGATGGGAAAACTGAGGCCTAGAGGGGGGCCTCCTGGTTTTCAGTGAGGGGTTCTGCAGGGTGCTGCCTCTGTTGTCAGCAGCCAGCTCGGAGTGGGGAGGACTCCTATAGAAAGGGACTCCTTCCTATAGGGCCCCAGCTAGGCTGGGCTGGGTCCTGGAATGAGCCCTGGTCTAATGGGGCCTCAGCCACCCCACAAAGTCTAAAACAGCTCCTCTAGGCAAAAGGGATGCACCAGAAATAGGTGGGGGTAGGAGGAGGTTGCACCGGGTCCCCAAGCCCAGGTGTAGCTGCCCTCCTACAGCAGGTTTATGCTTCTCAAGCAGGAAAGACTAGGAATGGCCCCCAGGATGGCGAGTGATGGGGCTGGACTTAGTTCTGCTTCAGAAAGAACTAAGTCTATTCCTTTGAAATTCCTGCTCAGGGGGCTTCTTAGCACTCACTTCCAGCCATAAGATCTAGCCAGGTCTCACTAGCAGTCCCAGCCATTTCTCCAAGTATGGCCCAAGGACCAGCAGCAGCAGCAGCAGCAGCTGAGAGCTTTTTGGAGATGCAGACCTGCAGGCCCCACCCCAGACCAGCTGGATCAGGTCCTCAAGTAGTTCTTACGCCCATCAGAGTTGGAGAAGCATTGGCCTCTGGAACCACTGAGCATCAGGTCTCACCGGCAGTGACACCTGTGATTAATTGCACCTGTGCAATATTATTAGTTAGCTGGGAGGGGAGCAGGAAGGACTGGAGCTGCAGAGGAGGGACCCCCTAGGATTGCAAATCCACATGGAAAGTAGAAACTCAGCCCCTCCTTGCTGGAGGAGCGAGGCTCATAGAAAGACTGAATCTGGGGACAATAAAGGGTGTGAGACTTTGTCCTGCCTTCTTCCGGAGGCTGGAGTTCTTCTGCAATCTGACTGTTCTGGCTTGGGCTCCCACCATGATGGGGAACTCACCACCTCTCAGACAGTCCATTGCAGGGTGGGCCACTGGACTCTGGCAAGGCCTCCCTCACACGGACCCGACCTGCCTCTGTGGCCCCATCTGGCTCACTCTCTAGCCCTTGGCCCCCTTTTCGCTGCTAGCAGCCGGATCTGTCTCTCCTTTGATCCTCGACACCCTGCCACTTTATTCTTTCTCTGCTTCCAGAAATAGGCTTTCTATTTGCGTGCGGAGAGTCATTTCATGGGACTCTTTTCACCGAGTGTGGAGGTGCTAAAGAGGCCTCTGTGGAGGCAGAACTTCTACCCTGAAGATTCACCGCACTGGCCTCATTTCATCCCTTCCTCTGGCCATTAGACGAGTGGGCACCAGGCGGGTCTGGCACTGGGAAGTGGCGCTTCCACAGGCCTGTCTAGGCTGCAGACACTGTGGGGCATGTCGAGTGCAGAGGTGCTTGACACGTTGGTCGGCTTGCACAATACCACACCTGCTACGGGCAGGGACCAGGGGAACCTCAGGAAACTGAAGGAGCATGTCCCAGTGAGTCTCCAACTTCTGCCCCTGTCCGAGCTCTCTGTGGAGCTCCAGACCAGCTCTGCTCCTGCCCACTGGCCCCCTCCAGCTGCCCACAGGCCTCAAACTCACACCTTCTAGAGCTGAACTCATTGTCTCGGGCCCCGGCTCTGCGCTGTCTCATCCCCCTGAGTGGTACCATTATTCCCCAGGGTCCAAGCCACACACCAGGGTCACCTTGAGCTCTGCCCTCCCCGCTCCCCTTTATCTCCTCCATGCCGCCCATGCAGTTCTATAAATTCCAGGACTCTGAGATTAGTTCTGCCAATTCCACTTCCTACATGTCTTTATTCTCTGTCCTCTCCTCTCCGTCCCCATTGCCAGTGACCCAATCCCAGCCCTTGAACTTCTCATCTGTTGCCTCCTAGTTGGTCCTATACCTCTGGTCTTTCCTACAATCTACCATCCCCATGAATAGCAGAGAGATCTTTCTGAAACAGAAATATGGTCACAGAAACCTGCTTATCTGAAATGCTTCAAACCTCAGGCTTGTGGCATCGAATCCAGACTCTGTCGTGGGACCCACAAGGGTCTCAGGAAAGAGTTTGGTGGGTAGCGGAGCACTATGGGCTTTGAGGCCAGACTTGTTTGGGTCCAAGTCTTAAGCTTCTCTGCACATCTTCCTTATCCTTCTTCGCATCTCTGTTTCCCCTCTCCACGTGGCTTTCATCATCCCCTTTAAATCTCTCGCCGTCCCCAGAGTCCCACCATCCTGCCCACACACTGATTGCGCTTGCCTATGTTAGGGGCCAGGCCCTCTGGTGCTTTTTGAGTCTTGCAATGTCCTTGGCTATGGAGTTGAAGGCTGATGGATCTTCTGCCCAGTCAGTGCTACTGTGGAGCTGGAGAGTGCTTCCCCAGCTTCCTGGAGGAGGCGGACAACAATGCTTACGGAATGTGGCTGGTTCTCCTCTAGCTTCTTAAAGTTAAACCAATTGCCCCTGAGTCTCAGTCAGCTTGGGCTGCCATAAAACCACACCATAGACCGGGTGGCTCGAATGACAGGAATTTATTTCCTCACAGTTCTGAAGGCTGCAAGTTTCAGATCAAGTGCTGGCTTCTGGGGAGAGCCCTCTTTCTGGCTGCCTTCTTGCTGTGTTCTCACAGGGCAGAGAGTGAGCTCCAGCAAGCCCTCTGGTGTCACTTCTTATAATGACACTAATCCCATTGGATTAGCTCCCCTCCCCTTATGGCTTCAATTAACCTTAAATCCTTATGGTGGTGAATTCTCAAGTGCGTCGTGTCCAGCATGGTGTGCAGACAGCCTAACGTGGCTATTCCCAGTCGGTGGCCAGTTCTTACTGCTACATACAGCACTCTTTGGGGGCACATCTCCAGTGTCTTGTATAGCTGAGTGTAGTACTCATACCCAGCTGGCTCCTGAGACTCTAGTGAACTCTGAATCTGCAGAGCTACAGCATCCAAGGAGTGACAGAGGTAAGGCCAGGGGCCCAGGTGCCTGCTGGTATGCAGTACTATGCAGAGGGAAAAACACAGGCCTCAGAGCCCAAAGACATTGTTCTGGCCCCGCCCTGTAACTGACTCACTGAGGAACCTCAGGCAGGTTCTGATCCCTCTCTGAACCTTTCCCCCACCTACACAATGACAACCTCTGCGGGCCCTCTGAGCTGGGTTACTCTAGACCTGTGCTGACAAATGGCAGCCGCGAGGAATCTGTGTTTTAACAGGCCCTCCGAGTGGGTCATACACTTGACCCCGGCAGGCATCTTCGGCCTAGGACACGCAAAAAAATGGGCAGCAGTGGGCACCAGCCCGCTGGGACCCTCCCAGAACCCCCTGCAGCTAGAGCACGTCCATACCGTCTGCAGTCATCCCGTCGGAAGATGAACGTGAGGCCTCTGACCCTGCTCCACCTGCATGGAGCAAGACCCTATGAGGACAAGCCAAAGCCACCAAGCAGGCCAAAGCAGGAAGGGTTTTGTCACTCCTCTCAGGATGTAGAGGGAGAGAAGGTAGCCCAGAAAGAGACGTGCTGGAGGCCACGTGGTAAGCTGGACGCAGAGCCCCAGTTTGCACTAGGGTGCTCGGCCTCAAAAGCAGGGCTTCTATGGAAAAGTAGGAGCAGCGTTGTCTGTCAGTGGGAGCTCTGTGCAAGCTCCTCTGCAGGCATTGCCGCTGGGCTCCCGTGGTTATGAGGATCCTATTTGACTAATGAAGAAAGCTTAACAAACTCGCCAAGGTCATGCAGAATAGGAAATGCTCCTGCCGCCCCTCCAGGAAATCTGAGTCCTCAGGGCTAGATGTGGACTGTTTCCCAGGATGGGGACACTCTGCCACTCCCAGGCCACACGCAGCAGCTCTGCCCCATCCCGCTGCTGACTGGAAGCTCACTGGGCAGGGAGGCCTTCCCATGGTGGGCAGACTTATCCTCTCCGTGGTTGAGTTGAAGCTGCTTCCTGTCACTGACTGCCACGTGCCCCTCAACCTCTGTGGCCCCCACCGTGCCTGTGGCGAGCTCTCGGAGAGTCACAGATTGCTCAGGCTGACCTGCTTGGGCAGCCGAGTCCCCTCCTTTCCAGCCCAGCCCCTGCACGGTGCAGGGGTCTGGAGCATGTGGATCAGAGCAGGTGAAGCCCCCAGCTCTCTGCGTTCCTGCCCCAGCTGCCCACGTGTTCTTGGAGCCACACGGGGCCTCATGTACCCTCAGCTCTTGGCCCAGGAAGATGAGGTGGAACGGGGCCCCCCGAACATGCCTGCGCCCCAGCACAGGCACCTTTCCCAGGCTTCCCTTTTCTCTCCCTGGGGGGCCTTCTCCCTGCCCCTTTACCCTGTACAGGCAACGGTGGTTTCTCCTGCTCCATCTCCCTCTCAGAATCTCTGATACCATAGAATTCACAATTATTGGATGCTGGCTTGTGCTGAAAACCGCCCTGGGCACCATCACGTATGTTCATCTAATCCTCTCAATAACATTATCTGGTGAATATTACTAGCTCGTTTTACAGATGACAAAACTAAGACTTGAAGAGCTGACTTCACTGGGAGAAGGCCACCTCCTTAGTCAGTGGCAGTGCTGAAATTCAAACTGTTGTGGGTGACCCCTGGGTTCACATCCTCTCCACAGGTCAAGCCACATCCCACTGAGCTTGCTGATTCTGGAATGAGGGGCAGAAGTGTGGGGCACTTGACCTTACCTTCAACCTGATCCTTACGAGACCGCCTGAGGCCAGGCTCAGCAGAGAGCTGCAAAGGGTGGCAGAAAGGCACCGGCCCCAGGGCCCTCTCTCCCCACCCCGCCCTCACCCCAGACAGTGGGGCCCGCGAAAGGCAGGAGGTGCTGGCAGCCAAACAAGGGGTCTGCAGTCAGTCAGCTGCTTCCTCACTGCACAAAGCCTGACTTCCCCCTAGACAGGGACCTCCGCCACAAGGACCCCAAAGAATGCCTGGAATGTGTGGGGCTAGACGGCCTCCCGCAGACAAGGAGAGGCTGGCTTTGTGCTTAGTTTGCCAGGACGAGACTGATCCCAAGTTAGAAAGGTCACTTCCTGACCTGTGACCCTGCCCTTACCTCCTGTCTCTGGGGGAGGCTGGGCTTCCCTCTTCAGGACCCCAAGTATCCTTTCCATGCCAGTGGGACCGCGCCCCAAGTTTGCGGCAGCTTCGGAAAAGAGAAGAGAGGAGTACCCCACTGACAGACGCTCCCACAAAAGAGCCTCCAAAATGTTGAATTCTACCCTGTATTTTACTTGGCCACCCTTCCCCTGGGTCCTTGAACTCTATCCTGAAGACATGTCCGGGCTCCCCTCCTCAGTCAAAGGCTACAAGGGGGTCCCTGGTGTTCCTTTGCACAGTCAGCCCCAGGGCAGCCACGGATCCAGGCCTCACCTGACCTGCTCCTCCAGGGCTGGTGAGCGGCATCAGCATCAGCCCCTCTCCCCGCCACGCCACGCCTGCTGGCTGCCCCGAGTGTCCCCGGAGCAGATGTCCTCTCGGGGCTTGCATTCTAGTGAGGAGACGGACAAGGAGCCCAAACCTCAGGAAATTATAGAAGGCGAGGCATGTTAAGGAGGGAGGGGAAGTTGGTGCTGGGTGCATGGGGCAGGGGATTGTAATCTTAAGTGTCGGGAGGTCAGGCAGGGAGGTGTTTGAGAGGAGACTTGAAAGAGATGAGCCTGGTGGGGTAGAGCTTTCCAGAAAAAGGATGGCAAGTATGAAGCCCTGCTTGTGCAGGGCCCAGCGGCAGAGCAGAATCGGCAGTGGGAGGCCTCTAGGAGCTGAGGTCAGGAGGTCATGGGGACAGAGTGTGGGCTCGCTCTGGGTGAGATGGGCATCCCTGTAGGGGTTTTGAGCAGAGGAGCCTTGGGTTTAACAGGCACTCTGCTGCCGTGCAGACTAGACAAAGGGCGAGGGAGGAAGCTGCAGCCACATTGGGAGTCTCCAGGCCTGGCTACCCTGCAAGCATCTCTCCTGTCTGTCCCCAGGCCTGGGGCTGGCAGTTGCCAGGGCGACATCCACTCTACACTCAGTGCGACGGGCAAGGCCTTGTGCTGGGGGAAGGACAGGACAGAGAGACCTTGCTTTTCTCAAAGAGTCCCCTGCTGATGGGGAGATAGGACAAGGTGGCCTCTCTCAGCTCTGAGCCCCAGAGCTCAGGGCTGAGACCTCTTTGGGGACACACCGTGGCCTCTTTACACCTGGCTCAGTGCCTGCCTGCCTTAACACCTAAGAAGCCTTCTTGGCTGCTCTAAACCTAAACCCGCAGTTGGGCCTGCAGCCCAGCACCCACCTCCAGGGGCACAGGCACCCACCTCCAGGGGCACAGGAGCTGGGCCAGTGGTTGGGAATCAAGAAGGGCCTCAGGGGCCCAAAGGGCTGGTGGCCAGGAGTGGCATGGTTGGTAGGGTTTTTGGTAGACTTAGAGTCAGGGCCCAGCCTAGCTCTGCTCAGCCCTGCCAGCCTGGGCCTTGCCAAGGGAAGCTGAATGAATGGAAAGAGGTAGAAAGGGGACCTGTGTTTACCCAACCTCAAAGCCAGAGAAACATTTTCATCCTCCTTGTGACTCATTCTTCCTTAGCCGAAAACTTTGTTTTTTCCTTCAAAATCACAGACTTCCACCTTCAGACAATAACGTGTTCTCAGGAAGTTACATGTATTGTTTCTCTGTGCGAGCTGCTGCTGGCGCTGTTTGTTTTTCTGTTATGGGCTCTATGGGCCATGCTGCCTTCAGGCCAGGCTGACTCCTAAATAGCGTGGCCAGATTTGCCAAATAAAAACACAGCACATCCACCTAAATTAGAATCTCAATGAACAACAAATAATTGTTTTAGTCTGAATATGTCCCATGCAATATTTGGGACATACTTAGACTAGAAAAATTATTCATTCAGCTGAAACTCAAATTTAACCTGTGTTTTACTTGGCCATCCTTCTCATAAGCCCACCAACTATGTCATTCCTGGCCACAGCCCCCTGGGTCCCTGAAGCCCCTCTTGAGTCTGCTGACCCTAGAGAGGGCCCGTTATCTTCCAGCCACTGGCCCAACTCTGCCTGTGTCTGAAGTCACAGGCCAGATGGGGGAACGAAGCTTTAAAGAGGCCAAGAAGCCAAACTCAACGCACCCCCTAAACCCTGCCGCATGCCCCATTCCCCCTCACCAC